GTTGTGGCAGAAGACTAAATGACCTACACAAAATATTTGGAAACGCTAAGAACTATTGCTTGTTTTAAATTTGGGTTATACCATGCTACATGCTAGCTAGTTACCTGGGCGGCGTGGGTCAGGTAGGAATCCATAAAACCGTTATACGCCACTTCCGGTTTGAAGGTGGGGGTAAAAGCTTGGTGAAGTGACGTCAGTTGGGAGCGATGCTGCCAGAAGGTATCTGTTGGAAGAGTGGAATAAATGGGGTCATTTCGGGTCTAGGATGAGGTTAGTTAAGACACCTACGTGTAGGGTTCGTTAAGACAGCTACCTAAAAAGTGAATTAAGACCTACTTGTAAGGTTCATTAAAACACCTGTAGGGTTCTTTAAGACACCTACTTGTAGGATTTATTAAGACACCTACCTGTAGTAAGACACCGACTTGTAGGGTTCATTAAGACACCTACCTGAAGTAAGACACCTACCTTAAGGGTTCATTAAGATCTACTTCTAGGGTTTATTAAGAAACCTACCTTAAGGGTTCATTAAGACACCTACCTGTAGGGTTCATTAAGACACCTACCTGAAGGGTTCATTAAGAAACCTACCTGAAGGGTTCATTAAGACACCTACCTGAAGGGTTCATGAAGACACCTACCTGAAGGGTTCATTAAGACACCTACCTGAAGGGTTCATTAAGACACCTACCTGAAGGGTTCATTAAGACACCTACCTGTAGGGTTCATTAAGACACCTACCTGTAGGGTTCATTAAGACACCTACCTGAAGGGTTCGACAAGTTGTAACTGGAGTCATTGAACATGAAAGCTGGAGTTGGAGCCGGTGGCTGGAGCTGCGCCTGTGACTGCACGGCTGGCATCTGAAGCTGGTCCTGGTGGTGTGGGGTGGGGACGGACTGGCTGGAGGGGTGAAGGTTGTGGGAGGGGGCGGACTGGTGGGGCATCTGTGGCAGCTGAAGGAAGGAGTTGATGGCAGACAGCTGGTTGCTGCCCACCTGTTTACGCCATCTGGCCCGTCTGTTGCTGAACCAGACCTGGAACATCAGCAGTCAGGGTGTCATTCATTTACCCGGGGGGGGGGGGGACAGTCAGGGTGTCATTTAATTACCCGGGGGGTGCGGGGGGTGGGGGGCATCAACAGTCAGGGTGTCATTCATTTACCCGGGGGGGGGGGGGGGACAGTCAGGGTGTCATTTAATTACCCGGGGGGGGGGGTGCGGGGGGTGGGGGGCATCAACAGTCAGGGTGTCATTCATTTACCCGGGGGGGGGGGCAGTCAGGGTGTCATTTAATTACCCGGGGGGGGGTGCGGGGGGTGGGGGGCGTCAACAGTCAGGGTGTCATTCATTTACCCGGGGGGGGGCATTAACAGTAAAGGTGTCATTCATTTACCCGGGGGGGGGCATTAACAGTAAAGGTGTCATTCATTTACCCGGGGGGGAAGTCAAGGTGTCATTCATTTACCCGGGGGGGGGCATTAACAGTAAAGGTGTCATTCATTTACCCGGGGGGGAAGTCAAGGTGTCATTCATTTACCCGGGGGGGGGGCATTAACAGTAAAGGTGTCATTCATTTACCCGGGGGGGAAGTCAAGGTGTCATTCATTTACCCGGGGGGGGCATTAACAGTAAAGGTGTCATTCATTTACCCGGGGGGGAAGTCAAGGTGTCATTCATTTACCCGGGGGGGGGGACAGTCAGGGTGTCATTTATTTACCCGGGGGGATCAACATTCAAGGTGTAATTCATTTTCCCGGTGGGGGGGGGGGGGCGTCAACAGTCAAGGGATTCACACGGCGGGGGGAGGGGGGGCTGCAATTTTTTTCGCCAAAACGTACATATATTTTCATGAAACACACTATAACCCCACACCACCACACTATAGCCCCACAGCCCCACACTACCTGTACGCGGGCCTCTGTCAACTTTGTCCGCTGTGCCAGCTCCTCCCTCGTGTAGATGTCCGGGTAGTGTGTCCGTTCAAATGCCCGCTCCAGCTCCTCCAGCTGCTCGCTAGTGAATGACGTCCGGCTCCGTCTTTGTTTTCTTTTCAGCTCCAGGCCAGGCTCGGAGTCACATTCAGAGAGATCTGGGGAGTAGAGAGTCACATTCAGATAGGTCTGGGGAGTAGAGAGTCACATTCAGATAGGTCTGGGGAGTAGAGAGTCACATTCAGATCTGGGGAGGAGAGAGTCACATTCAGATAGGTCTGGGGAGTAGAGAGTCACATTCAGAGAGGTCTGGGGAGTAGAGAGTCACATTCAGATAGGTCTGGGGAGTAGAGAGTCACATTCATATAGGTCTGGGGAGTAGAGAGTCATATTCAGATAGGTCTGGGGAGTAGAGAGTCACATTCAGATCTGGGGAGGAGAGAGTCACATTCAGAGAGATCTGGGGAGTAGAGAGTCACATTCAGAGAGGTCTGGGGAGTAGAGAGTCACATTCAGATAGGTCTGGAGAGTAGAGAGTCACATTCAGAGAGGTCTGGGGAGTAGAGAGTCACATTCAGATCTGGGGAGGAGAGAGTCACATTCAGATAGGTCTGGGGAGTAGAGAGTCACATTCAGACATTTGGGGAGTAGAGAGTCACATTCAGATAGGTCTGGGGAGTAGAGAGTCACATTCAGATCTGGGGAGTAGAGAGTCACATTCAGATAGGTCTGGGGAGTAGTGAGTGACATTCAGAGAGGTCTGGGGAGTAGAGAGTCACATTCAGAGAGGTCTGGGGAGTAGAGAGTCACAGATAGGTCTGGGGAGTAGAGAGTCACATTCAGATAGGTCTGGGGAGTAGAGAGTCACATTCAGAGAGGTCTGGGGAGTAGAGAGTCACATTCAGAGAGGTCTGGGGAGTAAAGGTCAAACATTGAGTCACACTGAGACAGATACCGTTATAAGTAAATATACAGTCAGCCTAAATAAAGAAACATTAAGTCATAAATGCATACAAAAACGTAGTTTGGAGACCCCTGGTATAGACGGAGTTCAACTTAATCGCCCAACAAAGTATGCCACAGATCCATCAACCGTGTATGAAATTTGTTTACGTTTTACCCCTGATTATGCCCATCATTTGCCTCTCTATACCTTACTCTAGTATAATATTAGATGCTTTATTAGTCTATTTAAAGCTCATTTGAACGTTTATTTAAAATTTTCCCCAAAAACATCCAGTTAACGCCTAAACACAACTTGACTTATTACAACCAATTTTAAACAGACTGAATTCCACTTGACTGTTTACAACAAAACTCATCTGGACCCCTTAATTCACTGTTGTGAAGTTTGCTGACGAGATGATTTTTTTTTCTAACCTTTGACCCGATCCTCCTTCATTATGGTATGTCACACCTCCCCCGGGGAGAGGATTCTTTCATCTCCAGACGACAATCTTTGATGTGTAGCCTCCCCTGCCGTCTGGAGATTTGAATTCATCCCACGTCAGGCGCGCTTACGTCACAGTTGCGTGGCCTGGCCACTTTGTTTTCTGATGTTTTAAATCAAATTGAAGTCCTACAAAACACCATTTTTTCTGATGTTTGAAATCAAAATTGAGCCATTCATAACGCCATGTTTTCTGATGTTTGAAATCAAATTTAACACATTCATAACGCCATGTTTTCTGATGTTTGAAATCAAACTTGAGCCATTCATAACGCCATGTTTTCTGATGTTTGAAATCAAATCTAACACATTTATAACGCCATGTTTTCTGATGTTTGAAATCAAACTTGAGCCATTTATAGCGCCATGTTTTCTGATGTTTGAAATCAAACTTGAGTCCTTCATAACGCCATGTTTTCTGATGTTTGAAATCAAACTTGAGCCATTCAAAACGCCATGTTTTCTGATGTTTGAAATCAAACTTGAGCCATTTATAACGCCATGTTTTCTGATGTTTGAAATCAAACTTGAGCCATTCATAACGCCATGTTTTCTGATCTTTGAAAGCAAACTTGAGCCATTTATAACGCCATGTTTTCTGATGTTTGAAATCAAACTTGAGCCATTCATAACGCCATGTTTTCTGATGTTTGAAATCAAACTTGAGTCCTTCATAACGCCATGTTTTCTGATGTTTGAAATCAAACTTGAGCCATTCATAACGCCATGTTTTCTGATGTTTGAAATCAAACTTGAGCCATTCATAACGCCATGTTTTCTGATGTTTGAAATCAAACTTGAGTCCTTCATAACGCCATGTTTTCTGATGTTTGAAATCAAACTTGAGCCATTCAAAACGCCATGTTTTCTGATGTTTGAAATCAAACTTGAGCCATTTATAACGCCATGTTTTCTGATGTTTGAAATCAAACTTGAGCCATTCAAAACGCCATGTTTTCTGATGTTTGAAATCAAACTTGAGCCATTCAAAACGCCATGTTTTCTGATGTTTGAAATCAAACTTGAGCCATTCATAACGCCATGTTTTCTGATGTTTGAAATCAAATTTGAGCCATTCATAACTCTATCTGCTGAAACAGCCATCAGTTTAATTTTTTAAACTGATTGGAGTGGTATGGATAATCCACGGATAATCCACGGCTAATCCATCAGCGATCCCGCACGGCCAAGTTAAAAAGTGGCACTTGGGTGTCTCCTGTTTCAAAGCCAGTCCGCACATCAGGGGGCGCGTGATCGCTGCAGACACCCCAGGGGGCGCACGATCGCTGTCGAGTCTTGCAAAACAAAACAAGCGCCCCTCTAAGCGTGGAGCTTATTCGTCGCGCTTCATAATTTAGCTATGGAGGCGTTGGACTTGAACCCGGGTTGGCCGGCCACAAAGAAATAGCTTGCTGCAATTGGCGGAGATCTGAGAAGAATGTCGGCCTCGTAGGGAGAGGTGTATAGAGGAGAAGATGAATGCCAGTTTGATGGCTTTGTGTGGGAGATATGGCGATGAGACACAATACACTGACTGACTTTATTTTTCTCATTCGAGAGGAGACTAGAAGCCATGACAAGCAGCTAATTTATAGACAAGCTCGCTCATTCAGATCGTGGTATTAATCGCGCTAGCGGGCTCGTGACTCGGTGCTACCCCGCTGGCCCGGGGACGGGCTTTGGGTGCGGGGAATGCGGTCAGCGCTCTGGACAGATTGATTCGTTTCACTTTTGTTCCAAGTTTTGACTGCACGTGGAGTCGGTTCTAGCGTCGCGCGCGGAAGGATAAACAAACTAGGCGGATAAATGGGTTGATTTCAGCGCCTTTATAACGTGCTGTCGTATAGGCAAACAGAATGTCGTGTAGTGAAACAAAATGTCGTGTAGACAAACAAAATTTGTTGTCGTTTAAAGAAATAGAATGTCATTTAGGGAAACAAAATGTCGTTTACTGAAACAAAATGTCGCATATACAAACAAATTGTCGTGTAGACAAACAAAATGTCGTTTAGTGAAACAAAATGTCGTTCAATGAAACAAAATGTCGTGTAGACAAACCATATGTAGTACCTTCTTTGTCAGGGTCAACGAGGTGCTCGCCTCTGACGTCATCATCTTGGCTGCTCACGTCGATTCCCGTCTCGTCTCGTGGGCAGCGAGATCTCAGGACACGTGATATGGAGCTCACGGTAGGCACGCTGGTCCGGTCACACACGCCGTCCTGTGGTCAACAGATGGGTAGGGGTTGAACATTGGTTTAACAGGGAGTGGTTAGACATTGGTTTAACTGGTAGTGGTTGAACATTGGTTTAACTGGAAGTGGTTGAACATTAGTTTAACTGGGAGTGGTTGAACATTGGTTTAACTGAGAGTGGTTGAACATTGGTTTAACTGGTAGTTGTTGAACATTGGTTTAACTGAGTGTGGTTGAACTTTGGTTTAACAGGTAGTGGTTGGTTTAACTGGTCAACCAAGGGGTTAGGGTCGGTAACCAACACCCCCCCCCGCCCACTTTCCTTTCCATCTTCACGTTGTGTGCTAAAAAATAAACTTTCCCATTGAAACGAAACATATACACAACATATGCAACATTAAGGTATGGACCACGTGACAAGAAGTGATGACGTGTGCAGATGCTGCCACGTGACTCCCGATGTACTCACGTGGTTTTCCCCCACCTTGAGCAGCTTGTCCCGGATCTCCCAGCTGAAGACCCCGGGGTTGTCCCTCTTGTAGTCCTCTATTCGACCTTCGACCTCTGGCGTGGCGACTCGTGGCTTACTTCCGCCTATCACACCTGGCCGGATACTTCCGGTTTCCTGGTACCTCTGTAGGATCTTGGACACGCACCTGAAACAAACACACCTGAGTCTATTGGGGGTGGCAAATATCAAATTTGGTGGACACGCACCTGGAACAAACACACCTGAGTCTATTGGGGGTGGCAAATATCAAATTTGGTGGACACGCACCTGGAACAAACACACCTGAGTCTATTGGGGGTGGCAAATATCAAATTTGGTGGACACGCACCTGGAACAAACACACCTGAGTCTATTGGGGGTGGCAAATATCAAATTTGGTGGACACGCACCTGGAACAAACACACCTGAGTCTATTGGGGGTGGCAAATATCAAATTTGGTGGACACGCACCTGAAACAAACACACCTGAGTCTATTGGGGGTGGCAAATATCAAACTTGGTGGACACGCACCTGAAACAAACACACCTGAGTCTATTGGGGGTGGCAAATATCAAATTTGGTGACTTCAAATATGTTGATGAGAACTAGGTAATTTCTTTGGAAATTATTTCAATGTGTTCTTCTACTTTCTTCTTCTGTACTAATTCTGTACTAATCCTAACCTTACAGTTTAGAGTTTAGAATATGGGTAATGACCAACCCAATATTTTGGCGCCACAATAGAAGGCATTAACACGTGAGCAAAGATAAAGTAATTTCAACAAACTAACACTTGACATCCTAGAACAAAGATTAATTAAGTACAAGTCTAGCTTGAAATGTGGACTCGCTGTGTCATAGGTATGAGACACTAAAGTTTGAGACACACCCATGAGACACACCAAAGTTTGAGACTCATGAGACACACCCAAGTAGAAGTCTAGCTTGAAATGTGGATTCGCTTTGTCATAAGTATGAGACACCAAAGTTTGCGACTCACCCATGAGACACACCCATGAGACACACCACAGGTTGAGACACACCCATGAGACACACCACAGTTTTAGACTCACCCATGAGACAAAGTTTAAGACACACCCATTAGACACACCAAAGTTTGAGACTCACCCATGAGACACACCAAAGCTTGAGACACACCCACGAGACACTACAATTTGCGACTCACCCATGAGACACACGAAGCTGTCTACTAATGACACACGGCCTAACACCCTGTGAGGCGAGCTCGACAATCTTGAGACGAATGTGATTGGGCAGGGGCCGTCCATTGATAAACACGCCGCCCAATTGGTTGACTCGGCCTTGACCTTCAATAGAAACATGCACGTGGTATTTCATAGAGAGGAGCACAACAAGAACAGGTAAACAAACATCAGTGGCATGTTGGTTGTCATGGTGATAAGGACCAGTCGCACCACAACAAGAACAATTCAACAAACATCAGTGGCATGTTGGTTGTCATGGTGATAAGGACCAGTCGCACCACAACAAGAACAATTAAACATCAGTGGCATGTTGGTTGTCATGGTGATAAGGACCAGTCGCACCACAACAAGAACAATTCAACAAACATCAGTAGCATGTTGGTTGTCATGGTGATATGGACCAGTCGCACAACAACAAGAACAATTCAACAAACATCAGTAGCATGTTGGTTGGCATGGTGATATGGACCAGTCGCACCACAACAAGAACAATTCAACAAACATCAGTAGCATGTTGGTTGGCATAGTGATAAGGACCAGTCGCACCACAACAAGAACAATTCAACAAACATCAGTAGCATGTTGGTTGTCATGGTGATAAGGACCAGTCGCACCACAACAAGAACAATTCAACAAACATCAGTAGCATGTTGGTTGTCATGGTGATAAGGACCAGTCGCACCACAACAAGAACAATTCAACAAACATCAGTAGCATGTTGGTTGTCATGGTGATAAGGACCAGTCGCACCACAACAAGAACAATTAAACATCAGTGGCATGTTGGTTGTCATGGTGATAAGGACCAGTCGCACAACAACAAGAACAATTCAACAAACATCAGTAGCATGTTGGTTGTCATGGTGATAAGGACCAGTCGCACCACAACAAGAACAATTCAACAAACATCAGTAGCATGTTGGTTGTCATGGTGATAAGGACCAGTCGCACCACAACAAGAACAATTCAACAAACATCAGTAGCATGTTGGTTGTCATGGTGATAAGGACCAGTCGCACCACAACAAGAACAATTAAACATCAGTGGCATGTTGGTTGTCATGGTGATAAGGCCCAGTCGCACAACAACAAGAACAATTCAACAAACATCAGTAGCATGTTGGTTGTCATGGTGATAAGGACCAGTCGCACAACAACAAGAACAATTCAACATAAGTAGCATGTTGGTTGTCATGGTGATAAGGACCAGTCGCACCACAACAAGAACAATTCAACATCAGTAGCATGTTGGTTGTCATGGTGATAAGGACCAGTCGCACCACAACAAGAACAATTCAACAAACATCAGTAGCATGTTGGTTGTCATGGTGATAAGGACCAGTCGCACCACAACAAGAACAATTAAACATCAGTGGCATGTTGGTTGTCATGGTGATAAGGACCAGTCGCACAACAACAAGAACAATTCAACAAACATCAGTAGCATGTTGGTTGTCATGGTGATAAGGACCAGTCGCACAACAACAAGAACAATTCAACATAAGTAGCATGTTGGTTGTCATGGTGATAAGGACCAGTCGCACCACAACAAGAACAATTCAACATCAGTAGCATGTTGGTTGTCATGGTGATAAGGACCAGTCGCACCACAACAAGAACAATTCAACAAACATCAGTAGCATGTTGGTTGTCATGGTGATATGGACCAGTCGCACCATAACAAGAACAATTCAACAAACATCAGTAGCATGTTGGTTGTCATGGTGATATGGACCAGTCGCACAACAACAAGAACAATTCAACAAACATCAGTAGCATGTTGGTTGTCATGGTGATAAGGACCAGTCGCACCACAACAAGAACAATTCAACAAACATCAGTAGCATGTTGGTTGTCATGGTGATATGGACCAGTCGCACCATAACAAGAACAATTCAACAAACATCAGTAGCATGTTGGTTGGCATGGTGATAAGGACCAGTCGCACAACAACAAGAACAATTCAACATCAGTAGCATGTTGGCTGTCATGGTGATAAGGACCAGTCGCACAACAACAAGAACAATTCAACATCAGTAGCATGTTGGTTGGCATGGTGATATGGACCAGTCGCACCACAACAAGAACAATGCAACAAACATCAGTAGCATGTTGGTTGGCATGGTGATATGGACCAGTCGCATCACAATAAGAACAATTCAACATCAGTAGCATGTTGGTTGTCATGGTGATATGGACCAGTCGCACAACAACAAGAACAATTCAACATCAGTAGCATGTTGGCTGTCATGGTGATAAGGACCAGTCGCACCACAACAAGAACAATTCAACAAACATCAGTAGCATGTTGGTTGTCATGGTGATATGGACCAGTCGCACCACAACAAGAACAATTCAACAAACATCAGTAGCATGTTGGTTGGCATGGTGATAAGGACCAGTCGCACCACAACAAGAACAATTCAACAAACATCAGTAGCATGTTGGTTGTCATGGTGATAAGGACCAGTCGCACCACAACAAGAACAATTCAACAAACATCAGTAGCATGTTGGTTGTCATGGTGATATGGACCAGTCGCACCACAACAAGAACAATTCAACATCAGTAGCATGTTGGTTGGCATAGTGATAAGGACCAGTCGCACCACAACAAGAACAATTCAACAAACATCAGTAGCATGTTGGTTGGCATGGTGATAAGGACCAGTCGCACCACAACAAGAACAATTCAACAAACATCAGTAGCATGTTGGTTGGCATGGTGATAAGGACCAGTCGCACCACAACAAGAACAATTCAACATCAGTAGCATGTTGGTTGGCATAGTGATAAGGACCAGTCGCACCACAACAAGAACAATTCAACAAACATCAGTAGCATGTTGGTTGGCATGGTGATAAGGACCAGTCGCACACAACAAGAACAATTCAACAAACATCAGTAGCATGTTGGTTGGCATGGTGATATGGACCAGTCGCACCACAACAAGAACAATTCAACAAACATCAGTAGCATGTTGGTTGTCATGGTGATATGGACCAGTCGCATCACAATAAGAACAATTCAACATCAGTAGCATGTTGGTTGTCATGGTGATATGGACCAGTCGCACCACAACAAGAACAATTCAACATCAGTAGCATGTTGGTTGTCATGGTGATATGGACCAATCGCACCACAACAAGAACAATTCAACAAACATCAGTAGCAGGTTGGTTGGCATGGTGATATGGACCAGTCGCACCACAACAAGAACAATTCAACAAACATCAGTAGCATGTTGGTTGGCATGGTGATAAGGACCAGTCGCACCACAACAAGAACAATTCAACAAACATCAGTAGCATGTTGGTTGGCATGGTGATAAGGACCAGTCGCACCACAACAAGAACAATTCAACAAACATCAGTAGCATGTTGGTTGGCATGGTGATATGGACCAGTCGCATCACAACAAGAACAATTCAACAAACATCAGTAGCATGTTTACTGGCATGGTAACATAGTCAATCAAACTTTCAGTTTAAAATATCGAAATATATAAAATAAATAGAAATATAGCTTTAAAGGCAATTTCTCCGCATTTGCAAGTATTATAACACTGATACTTAAGTATTAAACCGTGTATAAAAATGTCGATAAAAGTTTACCGTCCTGTCGGCGTGGAACGATATTCGTGGATGTGTTATAAACTACAGGGATCGTTATCTTGGATGGTATGGTCAAATGTCATAGTTCAGTGTTATAAAGGATCGGTCGGGCCGGTATAGCTCATGCTGCTTAATCGAAAAGTCCCGAGTTCGAACCCAGCAGGCTCGATAGCTGGAGACAACACCCATTTAGGAGAGACAACTGTACTTTGTTCTTGGATGCATAAAGGTAGCAAATCTAAAAATTAAAAGCAGGATGAAATCAGAGTCAACGGGTCATTTGACTCATAACATGTTGCACGTTATACTTGGTTGTGTTTGAGGAAATCCCGTCCAAAATCCCGTCCAACATTACAATGAAGAGCGAAGAAGTGTTATAAAATCTGTGCACGAGTCCTACAAGAGGCTGTACACCATCATATAACAGAAACATTATACACATCTCTATACTACTAAAACTCAAGTTTGTTTACATGTTTGAATATTTATTTGTTTGGTTTTTTTTTGTTTGTCTGATTGACTACTGGAGAGAATCTGCTCTATGTGGGGAGCTGTAAAATAGTATGTAGGTAGAGAACAATTTTTGTTTTCAGACATACTGTTAATCACAAATTTATTTAAAGACGTTAATTAATTTATTGATTTATTCATAGGTAGATTAATCACATTAATTTTAAAAGTTTAAAACATTAACTTTACTTTGTGGGAATAGTGACGTCACATGATTTGTTTACTTTTTAATACAATAAATGGAGGCTTCCATCACAGACTTTGTGGCCCATTCAAAAGTTTAACGCGTTCTAAAGCTAATTTTCTGTCGGCTATAACTTTAACAATGCGTCCGTTTGCTGTATTTATTACGTTCCAACACGTATATCAATTTTCAACTGTCTTTTTCATTTAGTTTTACAATAAAATTTTTTACATCTACAGATCAGCTGTCGAAGGACGAAAAAGTTAATTTATGAATCTAGATCACTAGACTTAACGTAAATTCTAGATCTAGAATCTATTTCAGGCCTTAATTATTTTATATAAATATTTGTTTAGCGTCAATGATCATCTAATTCGATAATACATGGGATTTATCTATCTAGGTTCTAGATCTAGATATAGTAGGATTACTCGCTAACTTAGAGGCGTGGTCGGCTGCTAACAACAATATGGCGTCCGGACCGGACGTATGACTTCCGATCATTTTTAGGCCACAATTACCACTAGCAAAATAGTGGGTTTTCGCGTTATTTAAACATGCTATAGGTGCCCAGGGCTAGATATGCCAGAAAATCATTTTAAAATTTGCTTTGAAGTATGAAGGCTAAATTTTAAAGTCGGTGTCATTAAAATTAATAGAACTTTTAAAAGGTCACCTGTGACGTGATGTCATTTATGGATGAACCCCGAAACCCACAGTTATCCAAGGGATGACCGGGTAAGTCTAGTATTACATATAGATGGAGAATACAATCAGTAACACATGTAGACACCTGAATATTTCAGGTAGAGGAATCAAAAATAAACATTTCTGAATGTCAGATGGTTAGATAATTCATCAGTAGTTCGCTAAAGATAAGACCAGTGCATCAGAGATTAGAATAATTCATCAGAGATTTGGATAATTCATCAAAGATTTGGATAATTCATCAAAGATTTGGATAATTCATCAGAGATTTGGATAATTCATCAAAGATTTGGATAATTCATCAGATAATTCATCAGGGATTTGGATAATTCATCAGAGATTTGGATAATTCATCAAAGATTTGGATAATTCATCAGAGATTTGGATAATTCATCAAAGATTTGGATAATTCATCAAAGATTTGGATAATTCATCAGAGATTTGGATAATTCATCAAAGATTTGGATAATTCATCAGAGATTTGGATAATTCATCAGAGATTTGGATAATTCATCAGGGATTTGGATAATTCATTGAGATCCGGGCTGTTCCTTAGTGGTTAAGAAAACACATTAGAAATTTGGGATTATTCCCCAGAGACTGAGATAAATTCTCAAGAATATGACAAGTTCCCTGTCATTATGTATGAGTGTAATTCAGTCTGAACTTGTATAAAAAATGTATTTTTTAAATACTTCATTTTATATCTGGATTATTTCTTATTACATTTGTTCCCACTTTGTATCTCAATGGATTTGTTATATATTTGAATGAGTCACGTAGGAAAAGTTTAGTAAGTGAAGTTAAAAGATTGGAAAATGTTGCTTTAAATATACTGTTTAATTTTTTTCTAGAAAACAGTTTGCTGTCCATAAATTTGAAACCTCTATTGAGGGGACAAAATTTGGATACTACTTCAAGAGACGCAACTATTTCTAATACAGCGAACACAACTAAATAAATGTTTTCGTCGCCTCGGCTATCGCCTGTTTTGGTTTTTGTAGAATTTTTAACGGTTGCCTCGGATTTCGTCGATTGCCAATAAACAGCATGTAACTTAACAAAACGAACGGAAACCCTAAATAGTCCTAGCTAAATAATGCACGTCTTACGTGTATTGTTAAATATTGTGTGAGCGCTAATATGGTTGCCGTGTAAGTCTCGAGATTATCTGTCAATTGACATGTATCTTTCTACAGAGTGTTTTGTAAGTATCAAGATTATCTGTCAATTGACATGTATCTTTCTACAGAGTGTTGTGTAAGTCTCGAGATTATCTGTCAATTGACGTGTATCTTTCTACAGAGTGTTTTGTAAGTCTCAAGATTATCTGTCGATTGACGTGTATCTTACAACAGTGTTGTGTAAGTATCAAGATTTACCATCAGCTTTTGAGCTGGTGATCTAGTTACGACACGAAATAATGTATCCAATTATAAACATATCAATAAGCGTTCCTATTAGAACAGTACTATAGATATTAAACGGCTAAAAAAATTATTATGCGCTAAAAAGTTATTTATTTTCATTACCAACTTAATTGAGGTGACTTTTAAATTAAAAAATGATTTTAATAGCTATAGAAATAAACGCACTAAAAGCAATGAATAAAACAGTACTGAATCTGTCGCACCTCTAGTAATGGGGTTGTGTGGAGGGGTTGAGTGGAGGGGGGGCTTAGCGAATCGCTGAAGGAAAACAAGTTATTTTGATTACACATTGTACTTTTGAAATCCTCTTGAATGAAAATATAATACACTTCTATTTTACTATCTGGGTTTTTGTCAAGCGACATCATCCAGTGTCTAGTATAGCTACATCGACCATAGTTGTATAACAACATAACAATCATGAGTTGTGTGGACCAACCCAGGGCTAACGCTGGAACATCCCAGGCTTACGGTAAATGTATATGTACAGTATCTAAGAAGAGGATTCAATTCTAAATGTAAAAACAAATTCAATACTAAATTACTATATCGGCGTTGTTGCTAAAATAATTTCTTTTGTTTATAGAGTTAAAATTATAATTTTAACTGCAAACTGCTTAGTGTTAAAAGGTTATTATAGAGTGTTAACTGTTTAGTGGCAAGTGTTAACAATTTAGAGCTGGAAGTTAACGATTGGCCGTTAGGTGACAGCTAGGACTGCTAGCCCGAAGGTCTCGAGTTCGGATCCCGGTTTGGACTTGTGTCTGTAAGACAACCCTGTGTCCACCCAGCTCTGATGGATACGTTACTTAAGTTAAAGAAAACAAAAATTGGAGCTGGGCGTTGTGCCGAACATTCTATCCCCTCATTTGCACAAGTCATAGAAAAAGATGAACTCTACTTTCAGATGAATAAAGAAACGGATGAACTCTACATGCATTTGAACAAAGAAACCGACGAACTCTACTTGCAGATAAACATAGAAACAGATGAACTCTACTTTTAAGGATGAACATAGAAACAGATGAACTCTGAACATAGAAACAAATGAACTCTGAACATAGAAACAGATGAACTATTGTTTTAAGGATGAACATAGAAACAGATGAACTCTGAACATAGAAACAAATGAACTCTGAACATAGAAACAGATGAACTATTGTTTTAAGGATGAACATAGAAACAGATGAACTCTGAACATAGAAACAGATGAACTCTTATTTTAAGGATGAACATAGAAACAGATGAACTCTACTTTTAAGGATGAACACAGAAACAGATGAACTCTTATTTTAAGAATGAACATAGAAACAGATGAACTCTTATTTTAAGGATGAACATAGAAACAGATGAACTCTATTTGCAGATAAACTGCTACATGTGTCTTGGGCACGAACGGGGACATATGATGATGATAACCGTTAACAAATAATTGGTGTGTTAAATAGTTAAACGGTCAGTTGTCTAAAGAAAGCGTTAACTTATTTTAACATCAGTCTAGACAACAGTGGTGTCAGTGTTACCTTTCATTAGCGCTTCTTGTTCCATGCTCACCAGCTTCACAAAATGTTCTTACTGCTACAAATGTTCTAACAGAAATGTTCTAGTTCACTTTTCAACACCATGGTAGAATGGCGATAGTTCAATAAGAAAATATCCTAAATATTTTGTTTAACGATACTTTCTGCGGATTTAGTAAACCCCTTCCGGCGTCTTTGGGTCGCTACAGATTGTCTAGCGAACATTCAAGAAGTACAGATTTGGTTTGATGGCTTCACGCTGGACCTCCACTGGCTAAATATTCCGTGTAGGGACAAATTGCTGGAGTGAACTGATTGGGTTATGGGAACATGAAAGTAAACACGGTGAAAGTTTTGGGTTATCTGCCCTTTTATACCTGGCTAATGGCAGTTATCCGCCCTGATATGACACGTTCTGCAGGGGAAGTAAGCGAAGGTGTGGTTTGGGCTGTAAGAAGGGCGGTCATTGTTCTGCTAATTAATGAAGACGCCGCGGAATGGCCAGCAGGCTGTCAGACGTAGGCAGGCCACGGCTGGGGGTGTGGGGGACAGGTAGACCCCTCACGCTGAGTTGATGAAATGTGGCGCTAATCGCTTATCGGTGTACGATTTCAACTTGGGCTAATATGTGTGTCCAGTTTTTATAATCGATTCCTAGCAGTCGAGGAGATGAGCTAGTCTGTCCACTATTTAAAATGACGTCTGTTCTGTCCACTATTTAAAATAACGTCTGTTCTGTCCACTATTTAAAATGACGTCTGTTTGTCCACTATTTAAAATGACGTCTGTTCTGTCGACTATTTAAAATGACGTCTGTTCTGTCCACTATTTAAAATGACGTCTGTTCTGTCCACTATTTAAAATGACGTCTGTTCTGTCCACTATTTAAAATGACGTCTGTTCTGTCCACTATTTAAAATGACGTCTGTTCTGTCCACTATTTAAAATGACGTCTGTTCTGTCCACTATTTAAAATGACGTCTGTTCTTTCCACTATTTAAAATGACGTCTGTTTTGTCCACTATTTAAAATGACGTCTGTTCTGTCCTCTATTTTAAATGACGTCTGTTTTGTCCACTATTTAAAATGACGTCTGTTCTGTCCACTATTTAAAATGACGTCTGTTCTGTCCACTATTTAAAATGACGTCTGTTCTGTCCACTATTTAAAATGACGTCTGTTTTGTCCACTATTTAAAATGACGTCTGTTCTGTCCACTATTTAAAATGACGTCTGTTTTGTCCACTATTTAAAATGACTTTTGTTCTTTCCACTATTTAAAATGACGTCTGCTCTGTCCACTATTTAAAATGACGTCTGTTCTGTCCACTATTTAAAATGACGTCTGTTCTGTCCACTTTTTAAAATGACGTCTGTTCTGTCCACTATTTAAAATGACGTCTGTTCTGTCGACTATTTAAAATGACGTCTGTTCTGTCCACTATTTAAAATGAAGTCTGTTCTGTCCACTATTTAAAATGACGTCTGTTTTGTCCACTATTTAAAATGACGTCTGTTTTGTCCACTATTTACGAATATACGAATATCTAGAAACAGCTAGGAACATCTAGACAGACATTTAGACAGACAATAGAATATGTAGACAGACTCTAGAACATTTAAAATTAACACATGACATTAACGCTTAATCAAAATCCTTTTTACACTTTAGACATACAAGCATACGCAACCAGACACACATTTAAACACCGGGTGACACCATTTAGGCGGGGGGGGGGGGGGGGTGATACCAAGGCAAAAAATATATATAGAGAAAAAGTTGAGAGGGGGGGGGGGGCGCAAATCAAAAGTTTGAGGGCGGGGGTGCAAATCGAAAGTTTGATGGGGGGGGGGGGGGTGAAAATCGAAAATTTGAAAGTTTGTCCCCGGAAAAGGTCACTACGCCTCTGGGGGTGACACCATTGAGTGCCGCACCGGGTGACACCCGACCTCGCTACGCCACTGATATATATACATATATGTGTGTATTTATATATGCGTGTGCATATATATTTATATGTATATATACACACATGTATATATATATATATATATATATATATATATATATATATATATATATATATATATATATATATACATATGTGTATATCAAAATAGATTGGTCGGATGATCTATAATTCACTACATCATCCCGTTCATGTAAGTCACTACATCATCCCATCCATGTAAGTCACTACATCATCCCATTCATGTAAGCCACTACATCATCCCATCCATGTAAGTCACTACATCATCCCATCCATGTAAGTCACTACATCAACCCATCCATGTAAGTCACTACATCATCCCATCCATGTAAGTCACTACATCATCCCATTCATGTAAGCCACTACATCATCCCATCCATGTAAGTCACTACATCATCCCATCCATGTAAGTCACTACATCATCCCATTCATGTAAGTCACTACATCATCCCATCCATGTAAGTCACTCTACTACAGACTGTGAGAAAACATAAAACTATAAGCCTGCTTTAGGTCCGATAATTGTCTGCCGGTTTTCTGGTTTGTAATTAAATTGTCAAATATTTGTAATGGAGAGATTCTTTTCACGCATTCCAGAACAGTGCATCTCCGTCGACAATGTACGAATGTTACAATCAGAGTTTCTTCCAGGTAGCTCAGTACCCCCCCCCACCCCCACCCCCGAACGAAATGGAATTTAATAGAAAACATTTACTTCTACCAGTGTCCGCCCCCACCCCCCCCCCCCCCCCGGAAAATGTTGTCTGGAAGAAACACTGTTTACAATTTCTATTCGATGATAAATTATTAGAAATAGATTTAAGGATGACTGGAACCTTTAACGAAAGGGGAGACCACTCGATCAATGGCTTAGACAAGCTGGGGTTTACATTGGATGTTAAATACGTGAAGGGGCGTAATCCAAGTGATGGGTGATAGTTTCAAGCGAAATAGAGTCTACATTACATTAAGCTAACTTTCCAAGATCAGAGGCGTCGACTAAAAATTATTGAAAAAAAAATTGTTTTAAGGACTTAATCATCGACGTAGTATTTTATTTTTACAGGATCTAAAGTAAATAATAAACATAAAATAAGTATAAAGCCTTCATCACAAGACATTAGGTGCCCCCAGCCACTTGCCCCACCCCCCGGGCCTAGATGGTGATACCTGCCAGAAAGCCACCTGTATCTCTGCTTGCTGGGCCCAGCGCCTGTGTCCGAGCATATAATTTGTGTGTAATGGTCTGATTGAAGCACCAACCGTACCTAGTGCCATATGCTAATGCCCGCAGTCGGCCTACCCAGCCGGACAATTTGTATGCTAATTTCAAGCCTTAAGTCACGCACACAGCCAGCGTGACGGCGGGAATCACGTGGGTTTAATTACAAACTTTTGAAAGAACTAAGGTAAGAGGGCCTTGCGGTAAGATATCATTTAACAGAGGGGGAGGGGTTTGCTAGGAATTAGAACAATAGCTGGTGCGTGGTTATGAAAATATGATGTGCCCACATCGGTCGTTAACACAGCCTAGCTGGGTGTAGACGATGGTCATCATTTAATTACACGTTAGGTGCGCGCTCATTTTGCTTGAATTGATCCATCGATGCTGATATTTTATGAAGGAAAACTTAATGTTTGGACGCAAAAAGTCGAAGATATTGTAAAAACAAGTTAATTAAAAAAGTCTAGTGACATTTATGCGCAATTTCCTTATGTTATCTAAAAATAGCTCTGACGTATAATGCTGGGGTGCGTTCAAGCTAGAAGAACGATCGGTTTGTAGGTGTTTATGTAATTTTAAAATTTGTGCCCGAACGAGAGGATATTTTTGAAAACTTTCTTCGGCAATATTGTTCTAAATTATAGCATGAATCGATTGGTACATGTTTCAAGTCGCTAAGTGGTCTGGTTGCCGAGATATGGGCAAAAAACTGCATTTTTTATCGTTTTTTTTGGCTTTTCCGGGAAATACATGAAAGAAACCCGGAATTTTTATAGCCTATGCTCATCCTCGTAACTTGCTTAACATAATTGCTTTTGGAACTAGTCATCGATATTGCTTCGTTGAGGAGGAGATACGACTTAAAGCTGCGGACACACATCCATCCATCTATTCATTCATACATCCAGAAATGACGGGTTAATAAACGCAATTCTCCAGAATGGAAATTGCGCTAAAAATTATAAACCCTGTAGGAGAATGGGAAATGATTTTGTTATATCAATTTTAAAAGAATTAGAAGATTTCCATAAGCGTGGTTTAAATAGAGCCAACTTTTCTAGTAAGATCTAGTTTGAACTGAAGCAACTCCTGCTTGAAGATCTAAAGACACTTGCAAGGTTTAAAGAAGGAGTGGGGTAACGGCGGCAGATTAAACTCGAAAGCACGATTTAACTGTGACTAAATGTTTCAACCATTTGCTTGTTGTTTTTAACAAAATTGTTAACAAAACTAGGGTTTGAAATATGTTTTAAGGAAAATGAATGCAAACTTGAGGATAAAATAATGGTATGAGATAATTGTTTACAATATTATTTAAGTTATTGAGTTATTGTTCATAAAATTTATGGTTGAAATAATGTTTCATATTAATCATGTTCTACATTTAATTTTTCTAAATGTATATATATATATATATATATATATATATATATATATGTGTGTGTGTGTGTGTGTGTGTGTGTGTGGGTGTAATTATATAAGTGTGTGTGAATGTAAATTTCAGAATATATTCTAGATTTTGCGCCATATTTTTTAGGCTTGAAGCTAGCCCTACTTTGTTAAGTTCAATTTATGTTTCATACGTAAACATGGACACAAAAATACGGGCAGGAAATTACAAATAAAATCAATTATTGAAAACTTGAAGTCATTACATAAATGCACTACTTAATATTCTTGTTATCGAATATCATTCATTTAGTGCCTTTCACTAGATTTTCAAGGATTTTTTTTTAGATATTTTGAGAATTGAACCGACAGATTATAACCACAGGAGCAGTGGCGTAGCGAGGTTGGGTGTCACCCGGTGGGGCACTTAATGGTGTCACCCCCCAGAGGCGTAGCGACCCTTCCCTGGGACAAACTTTCAATTTCGATTTGCACCACCCCCCACCCCTCTTTACAAACTTTTGATTTGCACCCCTCCTCCTCCCCCCCCCCCCCCCCCTCAAACTTTCGATTTGCATCATTTAAAAGACTATTTAACACTCAAATTAATCACTTGGTTAAGTGGAATTATCATTGTTCTGTATATATTTTGCTATTTTTCGCCTTGGTGTCACCCCCCTAAATGGTGTCACCCGGTGCGGTCCGCACCCCCCCCCCTCGCTACG